AAAGTCCATTATGTCCATGCCGGTAAAGACACTTTAATTCTCTATTCTACACCGCACCCTTAGGTGCTGCAGTAGTTTTTTTTTTCTTTTTTCAGCCTTTATTCCCAATCCAATAACCACAATGTCTTTAGAGCACTCTGGAGGTCTTCCAGTGTAATACTGTTTGACAGCAAGGCTGTCCAGACTGATAGAAATTTGCTAAAATTTGATAACACTGCAAGGCCTGAAGGTGACGCCTGACGCTTTATGAAACTGTCACAGTTTGTCTCCACAAAACACTGAAAACTAGCACAGCTCGCTGGCTGATGAGTTCCACACATACACAGTGGGAAACTCATAATGCCATAAAGTCTTCACAGTGCCAGTAAAAAAGAAAAAAAATAGCATTACCCTCTACAAGAAAGAAAATAGGCTTAGAGAATGAAGAGCCGTCAGCAGAGCAAAACAACCACATTTTCACAGAAAAAGACAAACACTCAACACTGCTTTAAGTTCAAACGCAGCAGTTTGGTAAAATGTCAAGCACTACAAAAGGTTCAAGCTAAAGGATGCCTACCTGCTCTGCGTGCCTCAAAACATGCTTGACCCATCTCATCTTTCAGCTCCTGGTTCTCGGAGGCGATGGCCTCGCCGACGGCAACGAAACGTCCCACCGCCACGTTCACTGCCTGACCCACCCTGTGGATCGCTGCCAGGGTGCGCTCAGACTTCTTTGGCTTGTCTTTGTGGTTGATCAGAGTTGTGATCTGCAGGAATTTAGAAAAGAAAATCAGGCATCAAATTCACATTTAACCCGAGAAATGAGCTGATTCTGGAGCAGCTAAAATGTAGCTGTTCGTGGTCCACAGCTGGTTGAACAGAGAAGTACAGAAGAAGCGCAGATGGATGGTTTAAATGATAACCGAAGGTATCAATTATAAATAGGTAGACCCAGTTRTCRTTAATTATTTATTGATTACCTTTACTCCTCTCCAGCTTGTTGCACAGTTAAGTGAGCGTTAAGTGTGTGTGAGCTAAACCATGTGGGTCAGGAAGTGGTGGGTGGTGATTTTAATTGGCACACAGCTGTAGGTGGTCCAAGAGGGGAAACTGTTACAGGAAAATCTCTGTGGGATGCAGAACACACACKCGCCAGTTCTGCGGAGCTCCGAGGGCTACTTGAACGAGCAGCATCCGGGCGAAGGAATGTGCGACACAGGTGGCTTTCCTCACAATTCTATCAGAATTATTACATTCAAGTGAGTAGATCTTGTTCAACTTGACATTTCCTTTAAAAGCTGTTACAATGAAAACTGCMATTATTCAGCAAACTTTGACAATAGTCCCTGACATGCTTGCTTTTGTAAAACAGAAAGATAAATTCCTTCTTTATGAGCTAATAAATGGTGTTTCCTTAATAATTTCCTGCTTAGTTTGCCTTTAATAGTGTAGAAAAAACTGGTATCCAAACAATCTGTTGCAGATGTTTTATACAAACACAATGTACGTGATATTTCATTTTGAAAACTTGGGTTCCTGAAGGCCCCAAAATACTCGATCTGAAGCCGAACAGTCGACGCACGGTCACGTTGTTGCTCAAGATTTGTTTTTGCACACGCCTCAGCCCATGAGACAAACCATGTTGAGCTCCTGGGAAACACCTCCTACTGTTGGTATTATCAGCATTGGGTTTCTTCCAGCTGGAGACTCCACGCTGATATCTGCTGCTTGGCCACAAATCTGTCACAAATAAAGTGCCACACCTTTTTTCCTCTGTGAGTTTTTGTCTATTTACCTATCTTTATATTGTAAGTGTCTGAAAGTGTCATATGGATGCACTTTCTGACAGCCTCGGACAGCTGCACCTCAAAACTATCCATGTTGTTTGGACGCACAATAATCAGCTTCAGGAAGCAAAATAATTTAAGCAAAATGCCACCATGGTTGTCTGATGGTTTCCTGCATAAACAAACCAGCTCACAAACTTCTGAATAATCGCAAAAATTACGCAATTTTCATCACGTAACTGTGACAAAGAAAGCTGATTTTGCAGCTTTGGATGGAGTATATTGAGTATATTGGCTTTGAGTCAATAGTCTTCCTGCAGGGTCACTAAGTGTACCCTGGATCCAAATCTCATGTAAACGGCAGATATCACATGCACTATGTGGTTCCCTTGGATGACATTAGGRATGCACCAACAAATCAACTGGTTAGCTAAACCAGACAATCTGAAAGTGTTAAAAAATGCTTTACTTATGTATTCTTAGCATGTTCAGCCCAATACCAGCATTTCTACAAGTGCTATTAAAGGAAAATTTATTCTGTTTAACGCTAATTCTTAAATGCACTACACACTCTTGTTTTTATTGAGAGATCTAGGCTATTTTTGATCATCTAAGTGTGTAATTTCATATCTTTGTGTGCCATGATTAAACTGATTAATTTATATGCATGATTCTGTCACAGCTCATCTCAAAACAGAGTGTACTTTTAAAAAGACAAGATTAGTTAAAAAGCACCTATCATCATACAACAGACCAACATATGGTTATTTATCTCTCATTAGATGGAAAGACTGTTGTAAATGGGTCTGGTCACAAGATAGACAAGACCCTCCCACTCAGTGTGACATTTTGCCCCTGAGGTGTGGCCAGACCCGGAAGATAAGGGATAAAATGTGTGGATTGATTTGATTCGATACCAAAATAATCTTAGACTGAATAAAGGTATGTATTTTGGTCCAGCTGAAGGTATTTGTATGGCTTTATTGCAATTTTATATTCAAGTCTAAATCTGAATTTGTCTCCTGGTTGGTGTGTCATCTCTCAGTGAAAACGTTTCTTACACCTGTACTTATCCAAAATGCCTCAATATTGCGATTGAATGTGTTACAGTTTACATTTCAAATGAAGTTTGTCAGTACCATGTTTAAGAAAATTAAACAAGTTGAAAGAAAAAATTATTGTGTTGTACATTTGATTTGATAGAGTTGGAGGGGCTGTAGGCCTATATGGAAGGAGAGCTGTTTGTAAAGTCAATGTATAATGTTTAGGTTCTAACTCAGTAAGTACTCTGTAGGTGAGTACTCAAAGTGAAGTACTCAAACTTGCACTCAGTTTGAGAAAAACTGGTATTGGGACACCCCTAATTTAAGCAGGTAATTCACAGTATCTGGTTTGCAGAGAGAGAAATCAGAATTGGCCAAAATCTGAATTGGCAGATCAACGAAAAATAAAATCAGAAATTGAAATTGGCCTGAAAAACTGCAGTAGGCGCATCTCCAGTGACTGTTACAAGCAAATCTGAGTGAAACTGTGGAAAAGATGCTACACTCAGTAAATATCAATTTATGTCTGAATGGCTCAAGGCCTTTTCTTTCATAAACCGATGAAGCCACTTATATAACACATTTTCAAAACTGTATAGGGGGCCTGGGTTGTAAATAAACCACCAGTAAAGTCGCCACTTTTCCTTTCTATAGCTCTATCATTTCTGCATCATCTGCGATACCATTTTGATTCAGATTACTGGCAGCAGCCTGCAAAAAACTGCAGTCTTTCCCATTCAGTTACGGATGTTTGAAAAGGAATGAATAAAAGAAAGGAAACTGTTTTACCAAAAAAAAAAACCTTTATGCTCTTTTTGTCTAAAACTCTCCCATCAGTATCCACCTGATGGCCTCACATTTCCAACACTTTGACAGAAGTTTCTACTTGTCATACTGCTTTTTTTTTTGCTATTTGTTGTCAGTCTGTCATTCTGCAGCAAGATCCTGACAGTTTGAAGTGCTCATTAAGCACTTCTTAGTCCATCAGTCGACATTTTTTATGTTTTATTCTGCCTTTTATTTCCTCAGTGCTAGAATTTCCCTTTGCTGCAAGGTGTTTATCAGTGACTCATCCATGCAGAATAGGTGATTTTTAGTTATTTATTTATTTTTTAGAAAACACCAATGATGACTGGCTGGACATTTTGCAGCCAACAAGAAATTAGGACACTGACACATGATTCAGATATACATCATACATAAACTTTATGTAATGCAACATGTTTAATGAATGTTCGAATGTCTGAATGCAGAAATATTCAAAAAGCCTGGCATTCCTTGAAGGAATGCAAATCCTCCACAGCTTCTCTTGCCACCACTTTTAGAGGAAGATCTTCTTGTGTTGAGAAAAGACTGAGTCGTAGCCATTTTGGTTAAACCTTGAAAGTTACATTAAGCACAATTTTATGATCACACAATAATAGTACGTGTTGTAAATGACTCAGCTACAACCACACCTATTTTTAGCCCGATACCTGTAAAAATWACTGAATTATGGCCAGTTTTGTGTCTTTATTTTAAGGTTAGTTAGCTGTGGCAGCCATATTAAATCAGGTTGACTCCAAAACGTAAGTCAGTTGGAAATGTTAATTCAATAATTACTTTCTGTGGGTTTCATTAAAACGGAACCACTGGTTCATGACATATTGTCACAAACGCTCTCACAACAAGCTTAAAATCCATTAAACCTTAAGGCGGCGAGCAATAAGCATAAATGTTTCCCGTTTGCATCCTAAAGAAGCTCAGAGCACGATGGAGGAAGAAAATCTGTGAGCTGCTGGAAAGAACTGTCAAGAGGAAGAGAAAGTGACCAAAATTTATAAAAACAACGAGACAAAGCAAGTCAAAGTGACACTTGACTACAAACATTCCTTTGTGCAAAGACTTGTTTTTCTATGTCCGAGTTAGATTAACAAGCTGAACATTGACGGAGTAAAAAAAAAAAAAAGGAAAACAAAGAGGAAAAAAAAGTCCCTGTAAAAACAAGCACTCACTGAGATTTCCTCCGTTTGGGATTACTAGGCACATTGACTGCTCTGTGCAAACAGGAAGCGAGCAGGGTGGAGAAAGCATAATATTGATCCAGTGCCATCACATAGGGCAAGCTTTTGTGTTTGTGTATATCAATGGAAACTTTGTGCAGGGAGGGAGAAAAGCGAACTTTTCTTTTGCTCTTTAAAAAGAAGGCAGAAAATATAAAAACTTTCTAAGTAAAATTAAAAATTTGAGTTGAGAAAAATGCTTCTTTTAAGGATTTCACAATGGATTTCTTTCTAGCAGCTGATTTTGACATTTGAGCATKTATTTTACAAATAAAAAATATAAATGACAAGAATGCAGGATATAGGTCTGAAATTTGGATTTAGCAAATTGTTATCATGAAGGAAATCCGACTATAACCACTGTGCTACATAAACATATCAATATACTGATTTATCAAACTTTGACTGTTCTCATGTGGACTTTATGCTAATAAAAKGTCACAATTCACGACAAACACCACACAAGAGAATAGCTGCTATTAACCTCCTCTGTTTCTGCTGGTGTGTTAAAGTCGGAGCCCAACAACTCTCTCAATTTGTCTTTTTTTCTGCACAATTAAGAGGAAAATTTACAAGGCTTTAAAAACAACAACATCAATGTGTAACTGTGAATAACCAAGTCCACCCACTGGTTAGCAGGAAATCTGGGCTGACACCTCAAGAACTCAGTGGCTGACCATAAATCAGAGGCTAACAAAMGCTGGAAACATTTGCGGCTGCCTCCCATGGCTGCAGACTCAGTCTCACTGAATGTCCATGCTGGGAGAAAGTTTGATTTTATCATTTATTCTGTCTCCTGACCTATTTTTCTTTCTTTTTTTTTTTACAGTTCTTGTTAACTTCTGCAGAAGAAAACTGCTCCTCTCAGATCAGTTTAAYGCCTCTTTTTCAGTCT